AGGCCTGCGGGCCAGACCACGCCCGTTTCAGGCATCTCCTTTCCAGGGGACGTTGGTGGTGCTGGTCGGGCACACAGAGTCCCCTGGGCCAGAGCACCCAGCAGCACAGAGGCAGGGGTGTGACTAGGACATGGCCACAGCCAGGGCGCTGTAGCCCACCTCAGGCCTCTGGTGTAGGAGTTCTGGGTCCAGGAGAATCGTGTGTGTGAGCATGTGCAGCTATGGGGGTGGGAACACGGGACAGGCCGGGCTGTGACAGGTGGCGGCCCAGGCTGGCATGGCAGGTGGGGAGCAGCAAGTCAAGGCGTGAAGGGTCTGGGGTCTGGTGGTGAAATAACTGGGTATTAGGGCTGGGGAGAAATCGGGTCACCACAAGGGTTATGGGATCAGAAGGGGAGATGGGGCCTGGAATCCAACTAGGGATAAGGGAATGGGGGAAGGCAAACTGGAGTGGCGGGGGGGGTCTTTTGGCCAAGGAGGGGGTCCTCACCTCGGAGCTGCCTCCAGGTGACCGTGGGCTCCGGTCGCCCTACGGCCAGGCAGAGCAGGTTCACATTGCCCCCCTCGTTCACCGTCACCGGCGAGGAGATGTTCACGATGCGGGCAGGGACTGTGGGCATTGGTGGGTCAGTGAGAGGCTGGGTGTGGACGGGGGAGTCCAGGCCCAGCCCTCCTCCTGCAGACCCCGGAGTCCAGCCCCAGCCCCTCCTCCTGCAGACCCTGGAGTCCAGCCCCAGCCCCTCCTCCTGGGAGCCAGGGTCCCGCTGGCGTCACTTCCTGTAGGAAGCCCTGCTGTTCACTCGCATCTTCTCCCTTTCCCTCTGCAGTCCCAGGTCGGTCTGGCGCTCTGTCCCATCGCTGGGGCTCTTGTTCCTGCGGCATTGTCGCTCCACGTCGTCCTACTCTGGTTTCTGTATCTTCTGGTCTGAAGTCCTCTCTCCTCGTCTCTATTTGTTATTCTTTAAAATGAGCTTATCTCGCACGGTGCGCACGGTACTCACATGTGGGCGAGTGTAAGCGCGGTAGGAAATCGGCGAGACCCTCACCACAGCCTCTGGGTAAGCGGTGCCGCTCATCTGAGGACGCATCTGTGCTGTGTGCGTGCGCGCTTTCCTTACTCCCCGTCTGGTATCTGATTCGCCCTCCTGTCGGGGTGACTTTGCACGTCCATGCCAGAGTCCAATCAGCAGGTCTGTTCCTGCTTTTCATTTTCTTTCTAGCAGGGCATGAAATAAAGGTGGCCCTTCCTGGCGGCGGTGCCTCGGACTGATCAGCGGCAGCACCGTCCGGCTTTGCGGGCGGGATCCGAGGCCTGTCCGCCTGCCCAGGGGGCTGCCGGGTGGGCGGTGGTGCTGAGGTGAGGGCCCGGGGCTCTGGCTCCCGGGTCTGTGTTGTCCCGGCCCCACTGGGCCCTCGTCGCCATCGTCCAGGCTGGGAGTGGCCTTCGCCCTCTGTGGGCTCCGCGGCGCCTCCGTCCGGCTGGGCGTGCGTCCGGCTGGGACTTGCTCTGCGCTCCGCCCTCGGGCTATCGCCCTCCCCCGCGTGCACCGTTCGTTTTGCCCCGGCTGCGTGCCCTCCGAGGTCTCGGCTCCGCGGACACGTCTGAGACGCCCTAACTCCGTGGGCAGGGGCGGGGCGGGCTGCCTGCTCTGAGCACGCGGCCCAGCTGGGGAGCGCCCTCCCAGTGCCTCTCCTGCCCCGGCTGCCGCGCTGTCGCTGTGACGGTCCTCCAACTCCCTGAGGTCCCTGCGGGTAGGGCTGCACAGTCTCCCGGCAGGCGTGTGCCCGGATGGGCGAGGGCAGGAGTCCTGGCTGGGCGCCGCGTCGGCCGCGCTCTCCACACCGCCCCCAGGCAGGCCGCCCAGCTGCGTCTGTCCCGCGCCCTCC